GCTCATGCTCTCTCTCTCAAATAAATAAAATCTTTAAAATAAAATAAAGCATCCCACACAATTCTAATCTACATTTAGGGTTGACACTCATGGGATTGAGTCGAAGTAGATGGTGGTATGGTTAAGATAAGGGAAAAAGCAAGGTGGCCACATATCCCCACAGGTGAGGACCATGGAATTATGGGAAATCTCTAGCAAATATTCAATGAAGTGAGTTGATATAAATTTTTAGTTATCAATTGTATTTATAAGCAAGTTTTTACTCCTTTAAAGGGTATCTGCTATAGTATCCTAGATCTGAAGGTCTTAAGGCATAGAGCAGTTCTCTCATAGGGCTTTTTTTTTTTTTAATTTTATTTATTTATTTTTATTTTAAAATTTTTATTTTTATTTATTTTATTTTTTAATATTTTTTATATTCTGGATTCAAGCCCTTAAGTGGCAATAACGTTTTCAAGATTGGAACAAGATAATGTGAGTTATTGAGAGAGGAACTTTAGGGAAGAAAAAGTCCATTTTTAAAAGAGGCTGTAGGGTGCCTGGGTGGCTCAGTTGGTTAAGCGACTGCCTTCGGCTCAGGTCATGATCCCACGGTCCTGGGATCGAGTCCCATATCGGGCTCCCTGCTCAGCAGCAGGGAGTCTGCTTCTCCCTCTGACCCTCTTCCCTTTCATGCTCTCTCATTCTGCCTCTCAAATAAATAAATAAAATCTTTTAAAAATAAATAAAAAATAAAAGAGGCTGTACACTCATTTGGTTCATAACTCAAAACTCACAAAAGGGTAAAGAGTGCAAATCTCACTGTCCTCTGTTCCCCGCTGTTCAATTTCTCTGACTTCGAAGCAGTCAGCAGTCTTCTGTGTCTGATAGTTCATTCTTACACAAGCAATGCCCCCTCCTTTATTTTCATACAAATGGCATCGTCCAAATGATAGGCACGCTATTCTGCATTTCACTTTTCTTTCACTAAATATTATATCCTGGGGAACTGCTTATGTCTTAACAAGTCTCAAGTTTAGATGATGCATGTTCAAACTTTCATCCCTCGGTAAAGACACAAGGCATGTAGTAGAGATTCAACAGATGCTATTGCCAGTTTCATCCCACTTCCAAAATAAACAAGCCAGCACTGCCGCACCTGTCTGCCGAAATTAAATTCAGAACTAGTCTATAAGGGATGTTGCTGTCTTCACCTGAGAACTGCAGTACAAACATGCCTTCGGTGATATTCTCAAAAGTAGTGTTCAAAGAGACCAGATGTATTTTTAATCCTGCCACAAAAAGAGGCAGAAACCTCAGTTAACTTGGAAATTGTTATGTCAAAATCCAAGAAACTACAAGTAGCTTTGACACCAAGCCTTTGGATAAACCGAAATCATAGGATTAATAAAGCGAATGATTTTTTTTTGCTCAAAGATCTAACTCACGTGTTTAAGCTTGTCTTTGTCTTGGTAAGGTGCTGTCTCTCACTACTTTCCAGGGCTGACACTGAACCTCGGTAGGGATTATGTGAGAAGCTGAGACATCACCTCGTTTTCTAACTCATAGTCTATCATCTCTGATTCCTTAAAACTAACACATTGAGTCGTAAGTGGTAGAAAATTATATGTGCAGCTTAATCTTCAGGAATTTATCTGTCTTGGTTTCTTGCTTTGTACCATCGTTAACCACATTATAAATATTAGCAGTTGATGTTTTATAAATCTCTGGGGTTAAAACTTCATGATTTGTAACAGCAAAAAGCTTAGAATCTCTGCTTTGCCATCGTAGGGATTGCTTTTTGCTTTTGGTTTCTGGGCAGCAACGGACACTTTAGCCTTTAGTTTTGGCAAAGGGAATAAAAGCAAACGGCAATGACATCGATTGGGGTTTTGAAGGGTTTTTAAGTTCTTGCTACCTTTTAGCCACATTACTTCTTTCGGTGTCCATGTTTGTTAAAAATCCCCACAGTTTTAGAATCTTCCTCCTCTTCAGTTGAGTAGTGTTTGGCTGTTGTTCCTCACTGAATATACAAGTTCTGGAATCAGAGTCACTTTCTCCAGGCAACTCAGTGTGGTTAGTGTGTTATTGGTTATTTTTTAAAAAGTACTATAAAGGGATTATATTGCCTGCACGTGCACGCGTGTATGGGGATGTAACAAGCTTGTGTATGTGCAGGAGGGCAGGGGAGAAGAGTGGTCAATAAAACAAATAAGCCATTGAGTCACTAAATTCTAAAATAGTGAAACATAGCATCGAATAATTCTGCGGGAATGGACAATAAAATGCAAAAATCTGAACCTTACTGAGCTCAACTAACTTAAAAATGAATAAGGTGAGATTATATACGTGACTTCCTTCAGTGTCCTAATAGGAATGCAACGTTATCATGATTTTTATGCTCAATAAATAGAATATTGATGAAAATGTATTTGGTGTGGGTCAGAATTGCAATACTAATTATTATATTATTTATAAAAAGAATGGTAGAGTTTTTAACTAATATTTCTAATTTTAAGCTGTCATTATCATTAGACATAATTAATTGAAGGCATTGTAAAATACATGAAATTATGTCCTCTATGTAGGTAATCATGGTATAGCATTTTGTTATGACACTAATATCACCCTTTAGTGAGCATATTATCTTTGTCCCATGACACTGGAACTGTAGTGGAATTCAGTTCCAATTGGCTATAAAATATCTTTCTTCAGTGGAGGTCAAACTACTTTAAAATATTATCTCCGTGCTTTTAGCTTATCGAAGAAATATTGGAAAAGTGATTTATTCTTATTTAGTGGGCGAGCAAATGGCAGCATAGACAGGGAAAGTCAATTGTATGAGGTCAGTTAATAAATCATCTTTATGTGGGTGAGATCAAGTTTCCGAAGTCACAATCTAGTACACCAGGAACTGAACAGTGCCTAAGACAGATAGAAAAAGTAAAAGTCAAATGTTTACCTCACTTGGTTCAAAAGAATATACTGGCTGGTTCATTTTAGACTGATGTGCTCAAGGCTTCAAAATTTGTGAGTCAAGTTATGTATATGAGTTGCCAGATTATATCTGGCAGCTTTTTATACTGTATTAACATGTTGACCTGTATGAGGTGGTAATGTAATAAATTGAAATCAAGTGTTTTGGGATAGTTGTGATAATAAAAATGAATTTCTTGTTGCAATAAATACTTCGGTATTAAAAGAGCAAGAGAAAAAGCAACAGAATATAAGAAAGAGGTTATATTTTAAAAAAAGAAAATATACTTACATTAAAGAATAATAAGCGTTATCATTAAAAAAAAAAAAAGAAAATACAAACTAATAATGCCCTATCCAAGATCCAAGTAGATGTAGATAGTGAATGGAAATTCATGAATAGCTGTGGTCGGCCTCTTCTTATCATCTGTTCATTTATTATTCTCTGTTGGGGGAGATCTCTCAGTTTGCTACTAGCAACTTCTTTCCTCTTTGTACCTTATCAGTATTTCCCAAGTGTGTTTTCCAGAGTATAAGATCCATGAGATATGCATATAGGGGCTGTGGGCAGAGAAGTTTAGGAAAGATTACATATAGTAACTATCTTTTGGGAATTCCTAATGTTCTTTAACACTTTAAAGTCTTCAAGAAATGGTCGAAAATCAGAAACCTGTTTTCCTTTTTTTATCCCAACCCCTTCCAAAAGGATTTGACTGTGAAATATATATATGTATATATATATTTTTTAATATATATGTATATATTTTTTAACATACACATATATTAAGATTTCCAGGCACCTTGCTTTAGAATCAAAAGACAAAGTAGCAGTGATGAGAATGGATTGAGGAATAAGGGGATATAGTTGGGCCAACATAGATTCTATGCAACTCTTAGAATTTTTGTAGAATCACTGATTTATGTATGCTATGTTCATTTTCCATTTCAAAGAAACACCTATTAAAAAATGCTTTGGGGGGCGCCTGGATGGCTCAGTCGGTTAAGCAACCGCCTCTTGATTTTGGTTCAGGTCATGATCTCTCAGCGTTGTTAGATCCAGCCCCACATGAGGCTCTGCGCTGAGCATGGAGCCTGATTGGGATTCCCCCCTCCCCTCCCCCTCCCCACGGTGTGCTCGCTCTCTCTCTCTAAAAAAAATAAATAAAAAATGCTTTGTGTCCTTTTGATTACATATTCTATAAAAATTGTTAGATTTTTATTCATGGATTTTCCATTGAATTTGTAAAATATCATTTTGAGGGAAAACATACATTTGGGAATATCTTACTGAAGTTTTTTTAAGTCATAGAAGTTGCTTTCCTTGGAGTGAGGCATTTAATTGAAAAACTCATTGTTCAGAAATCACTGTGATTCCATATTTTTCTCTTTTCCCAAACACTTCGAGAATTGTTGTTGTCACTTATTTTTTTAAGATTTCATTTATTTATTTTTAGAAAGAGTGTATGAACTGGGGGAGGGGCAGAGGGAAAGGGAAAAAGGGTACCTCCTGCAGACCACACTGAGCAGGGAGCCCAATGTGGGGCTCCATCTCATGACCCTGGGATCATGACCTGAGCCAAAATCAGGAGTCCACCGCTTAACCGACTGAGCCATCCAGGCGCCCCTTATTGTTACTTTTAAAAGTAATTATGAAAAAGTGTTCAAGTTAGAAATTCATAGCAATCATATTTGTCATTTAGTCTACCACCCAAAACAAGGTATTTAATTTCTAGGCTAACGGAAGACTGTTTTATATTATTAAATTGAATGTGATATATATTTCCTGTCCTTTATCTCTTGAAACTGAAGAAAGGAACAATTGCAATTTGAAAAGCTTTTAGGATGATGTAATGGAGCAAATGGCCTCTCTGAAGCCTGGGCATTGGGTTTGTTTTATTTATGATAGAAAACGGGGATATTTTAAAACCAAGATTTGTTGAGCACCCCATTTTATTAATACCGCTGTGTTAAATGTATAAGTATTGAACTGTCAATGAAATATGAGACCTTTTACCCAGTGACATTTTAAATGAATCTCCTTGTAGGGGAAGCCTGTGGGAACACCAGATGCTGGTGCTTATTTCCGCGTGCTCGCGGAGCATGGAGTAGCTGCCTTGTTTACAGCGCCGACTGCAATTAGAGCCATCCGTCAACAGGACCCTGGGGCAGCCTTGGGGAAGCAGTACTCTCTGACAAGGTGAACTTGGGATGCACAGGGCAAATTACATTAAAAACTGCAATCAGAATGAATAACTGAACATTATATATTTTTTTGGCACTGCGATACCTCTGTGGAAAGAGCCAGAAGATTCTGGATGTTATCAAGAATGACTGTTCTAAACATAGCTTTGAATTAGTTAGAATTTTAACTATACTATGAATATTTTTTAATACCATATTGTGTTTATTTCAGTTCAGATCTTACCAAAATATTTCTCTTTTTTAAACCACCGTGCTTACATTTTCCTTAAAGTAAAATGCTGACTATGGCTTAAAATGCATTTATACATATATAATAGTATCTGACTGTCTTTTGAAAATAGAATAATATTGTAAATAGAAGGAAAATATTATTTGATCTCATATATAGAGATCAAATGTGAAAATTATGGTCCCAGTTGGTGTTGTTGAAAGAATGGAGGAAATTGTTTTTCTGTTGTTTTGTAATAATAGGCTCTGAATAGTTTGAATATTTTTTACTGGCTTATTGACATCCATTTCAGTTTAATGATATGTATATTTGAAGATAAATATAGCAATTTGTATCTTCAAGGCAGTTTCCAGCATCAGTTCTTTTTGAACTTGTTTGAAATTGGTCCCTGCTCTCATCAACTAAAAGGAGAATTTTGTAGTTTCTTCAAGTCAAAAAAAATGGCTTTGAATGATTGTTTTGAATTTTTTTAAGTTAAATGCCAAGTATTAGGAATTTTATGTTGTTAAAACCCAAAGAAGGAGTCAAAATAGATATCATATACCGATTGCAGGTGGGAGCAAGAAGCTTTGGGCAGTCAGTGGTTTTGTTTTTGGTTCTTGTCCTTCCGTTTTTCTGTTTTATGAGAAGTTAGATCTGGATTTACATAAAATTTTACCCATAATCTAAAGAATACACTCATTAAAATAAAAGTGTTCATAAAATGAACCTTCCATTACAGTATTTCTACTCACCCTCGGTTTGTCCCTTCATTTACTACCTTTCAATTGTATTTTCTCCATTTCAGGCAAAAGGATAGAAAAGTGGATTTTGGTAAGAACATCTTAGGCTCTGTACAGCCTCTCCATGGCTTAGACAGTTCCGGGAAATTTTGAAGAAACCGTGATTGTAGTTCTTTGCACCGTCTCTTTCCTAACAAATGCATTCTGATTGCAGGGTGTGACGTTGTGTGACCTGCAAGCCAAGGAAGGTCTCTTATTTGCTATATCATCTTCTTTTCCCAGTTGTACATGGGTTTTAGATGTTATCCGTTACTTTGAAGGCAGGAACCATTTCTAATTGTATTAACGTAGAAAGCATCCAGTAGTACTGAATGCCTATTAAATCATAACCTTTTTTTCAAACTAATACTAATATGGAGCATGAGATTTTAGTGTAAGAGAAATTGCACTTCAGTTCCCTCTGAGAATGCCCTTCTGTCTTTAGGCACCTAAGTTATTTGTGATGGTGGGCACATATGTTTTTAATAGATATTTAATGACGTAGATGCTTCGGACACCCTCAATTCTTCCAATCACTACCATTAATAAATGCAAACATTTGCTGATTACCTACTATGCTCCAGGTATAAGCAGTTTAAGTTTCTCTTATTCAGTTATCACAATAAGTAGGAATTGTGATTATCCTCATTTTACAAATGAGTAGTGTTAGGACCAGAAAGTTTAAGAAACTCTTTGGAAAGAAACTAACTCAGACAATCTGAAAAGGGCCCACATTCTTCACACAGACGTATTTTCCTTATGAGAGATAAATTAAGAAACTCACTTGATCCAGAGATTTTTGTCATTCATGGGATAAAAGTAGCTTTTACTTCTTATATATTTCTAGCCTATTCAAATAATAGCTTCACTGAACTTCTGTAATAGATTCTGACTTGTGAACTAATGGGATGTTAGAAGGGACCTCAAAAATCCAACTATCTGATTTTAAAAACAAGGAAACCAGAGTCCAGAAAAGTTAAGTTTGGGTTAAAGACAGAATAAAGACCAGGACTCAAGTCTTTTCACACAACTATACCTTTCGTTTTATATTTATGTTCAAGACATTTCCTACTTACTTGGTGAACTGACATTCACCAGGTATTATAATTGCAGGCTCATGATTGATCTGCAGAGCTTGCTTTCTCTCTTCTCTTATAGGACATTTCAAATGATGAAAATGTGTTTTTCAGATGTGTTACATATCTCATTAAAGATTGTTTTAAAATAAATTTGGAGATTTTCAAAGATTTCCCTCCCCAAAGCAAATTTCAGAAGGCATTCTAAAATAGGGAACTAAGCAGAACTATAAATTCTTTTTATCATAGACGATTAGAAGTCAGAAGAAGAAATTAGAGGTCATCTAGCACCAACATCTCATTTGATAATTGAGAAGCTGTTGTCACAAAGAGGTGAAGTGACATGCCCAGGACTACAGAGCTACCCTGCAGCAAAGCTGGGATGAGGCAGTACCATGTACTATAGTTAAGATTCTTGCTCTGGTGTTAGACACACTGGGTTCAAGTCTGCCATTTACCGGTTGTGTGACCTCAAGAAAATTACATAGCCTCTCTGTTGTTTTTGCTGTTTTTCTTTTTTTGCTCTCCCTCCTCCTCCTTCTTCCAGAACATAAGTATAGTAATATTACAAGAATATAATGAAATTAAAAGGCATATTATCCATGTAAAACACTTGGAACACTGCATAACATAGACTGTCATCGCTCTTACCATTATTATTATTTTGCTTTCTAATATACTGCTCTTCTTCCTCACATCATGGTGATTTATTTTCCCATGATCTGCTAGTTCAATCTCAATCAAGTTAGAAAAATTCACTTCTGCTACTTCCATTCAAGGTATCAAAGTCCCTAATACTCAGATGCAGCCCTTCTTTTGCAGTTGCATAATAATGAGGGATAATGCAAAAAAGAAAAAGCAGAGCACCAGAGATGAGCTCAGAAATAAACATATCTGCGGATTGGAAATAGAATCGATCTGCAAAGTAGTAGGCGGGGCCGAAGCCAGAGGTTTGGCAGGTGTGCAAGCAGGCTTTGGCGGCGGAGTAGAGGCTCAGTATTCCCCTCTTTTGACTTGGGGTCAGAGTCAGCTCAGGGGCATTGCACCTCACACTTGAAACAGGAGATTGATAATAATGGTGAGAGGGTGTTTTCTGGGACTGGGACTTAGAGCCAGCTTTGGTCTAGAGGTCTGAATGAGACAGAGAACAGCCCAGCAACTGGAGACTGAATTAAACCTCCCACCTGCTGTCCTAGAATAGGATCTATGATATCCTGAGTATCACTGTGTGGTCGTAATAATTCTGGACCATCACTGTGACATTGCTGGGGGATAATAGTTGCATCACCCACAAACCTATTGGACAGAGAAGGTGAACATAGGAGAGGGAGCAAGAGATAAAAAGAACAGCAAAGAACCTCTTTTTCTTCTACTTAAGACACTGATATAAGAGCAGGGATCAACAAACACACTAATGAAGTTGAATAAAGGATCGCACTGCTGTGGAAACCTGATTTACAGAGGAGGTAGCTTAACAGATAAGTGGAAGGAGGATAGACCCTTAAATAAATTGGTACTGGCTATATAGGTGTAGAAAAATTGAGTTCCCTACCGTATACTCTACACAAAAATAAATTTCAGCTGGATTCAAGGCCCTAAAATTGTAAAACAAAGAATTAATACTTTCAGAAGAAAATGGATAAATATTTTAATATATTTTTTAGTAGGGAATGACCATGTAAAGCATAAATCACAAATCACTAAAGAAAATACTGATGAGGGGCGCCAGGTGGCTCAGTCGTTAAGCATCTGCCTTCGGCTCAGGTCATGGTCCCAGGGTCCTGGGATCGAGCCCCGCATTGGGCTCCCTGCTCCGCAGGAGGCCTGCTTCTCCCTCTCCCGCTCCCCCTGCTTGTGTTCCCTCTCTCGCTGTGTCTCTCTCTGTCAAATAAATAAATAAAATAAAAGAAAAAGAAAATACTGATGAAATTTACTACACTAAAAGGAATAATCGCCCACCAAAAGAATAAACAAACTTAAATGATGAATTATTCACCCAGAGAAGATATTTGCAACGTATATAACCATTAAACAACTAGTGTACAGAAGATATAAAGAACTTCTACAAATCAATAAGAAAAGACACAATCCAGTAGACAAATGGGCAAAGGATATGGACAGTTAGTTCATGGAGAAGACGAGGGTAGTCTAAAACATTGAAAGAACTTTAATCTCACTAATAAACAGAGAAATAACATTTTCCTCCCATCATACAGGCAAAAAGTTAAAATATCTAACAGTAATGCTTGCTTGCAGGTTATAAAGCAGCAGAATGGTTTTTACACTACTATGGAAAGTGTAGAGTGGAAATATCTAGTAATATCAGTTGCTCCATGCATTCACTATGCCCCATGACCAACCCCGTATTAATATGGAGGGATGAGAATGAGAAACTCACAAGTGCGAACGACAAACCATGTACTTGAAGGTTCTTAACAGGGTTGTTTTAAAACAAAACAAAATATAAGCAATTACATGAATAGTAAAAAAATAAATAAATAAAATTAAAAAAATAGTAATTTTCCATTCCACGTAATGGAAAATAAATTATGTACTATGGTGTATTAATTCAACAGGATGTTTAGAAGTGGAAATCAACCAGAACTTCAGGTATTAGCATGAATAAATGTCAAAAGGCATAATGCTTTTGAGTATAAAAAGCAAGTGAAAACTGATTGTGTTTCTCTTACATATAGTAAGAGAAATTTGAAAAATTATGAAAACCATATTGTCTTGTTTATGTATATGCAAACAGGCAAAAAAAATAAATAAATGCATGGGACTAAAAACCTCTGAGTAATGCTGGTTACCTCTGAGGCAGTGTGCCTAGTGGGATGGTGAAGAGAAATGAGATTTAAGTAGGGTTTGGAGAGAATTCAGTTGAGTCAATAATATTTTATTTTCTAAGTGACATAAATATGACAATGAT